CTGATGAGAAGCCAAGGACAATGGCATGGGGTTTTGTTCCTACTTCATGTTCTGGCTTTGTGGGAGCCTAGCCAGTTTGGATGTTCACCTTCCTAGACATGGACGGAGGGGGGAGGACCTTGGACTTTCCACAGGGCAGGAAACCCTGACTGCTCTTTTTACTGGAGAGGGAGGGAGAGAGGAGTGGGGGGAGGGGGAGAAGTGTGGGAGGAGGGGGAGGGAAATGGGAGGCTGGGAGGAGGCAGAAACGTTTTTTTTCTTTTTTAAAAAATTAAATAAAAAAGGAAAGACAAAAAAAATGCTCCCAAAACAAAATCCAATTTACAGATTCAGAATTCCAACACAATTATTCATAGAGATGGAAAGGAAAATTCTTGGCTTTATCTGGGCAATCAAAGACCCCAGAATAGGTAAAACAATCCTGAACAATGAAAAAATGATTAAATGTCCCTTCATTCCAGATTTTAAGTTGTATCGGAGAGGTATAATAATAAAAAGCACAGCATATTTTCATAAAACAGACATGCTGATCAATAGGATAGAGTTAAAGACTTGACACAAGTCTGCATACATATCTACCTGATTTTTGATAAACAAGTTAGAAATACACACCGAAAAAAGACAACATTTTCAACAAATGATGCTGGTGAAACATGTAGAATACATGTAGAAAAATGCAAATAGATCAATACTTATTATCCATCTCAATACTCAGCTCCACGTGTATCAATGATCTTAACATTAAAACAATATGCACTGAAACTTATATGAGAAAGTGTTGAATTGCTTTGAACTCATTGGCACAGGAAAGACTTTATGATCAGAATGAAGATTGCACAAAGGCTAAAATCAGCAATTAATAAGTGGGACATTGTGAAACTGAAAAGTAAGGCCAAGAACAGAGTCATTAGGACAAAGTGGTAGCCTACAGAATGGGAAGAGACTTTTATCCAGTCCATATCAGGGAGAGGACTAAAATCCAAAATATATAAAGAACTCAAGAAACTAGATACCAAAAACCAAATAATCCAGTTAAAATTGGAGTACATATCTAAACAGAATTCCCCAGTGGAGGAAACTCAAATGCCTGATAAACACTTAACAAAATGTTCAATATTCTTAGTCATCAGAGAAAAGCAATTCAAAGCTAATTTGAGATTCCATTTTGCACCTGTCAGAATGGCTAAGATCAATATCCCAAGTGACAGGTCATGCTGTTCAGTATGTAGAACAATAAGAACACTCAATCTTTTTCTGGGAGTTCAAACTTGTAAAGTCACATCAGAAGTCAGTATGGCGGTTCTCACAAATTTAGGAATTTATCCACATCAAGATTCAGCTATACCACCCTTTAGCATACACCCAAGGGATAAATCACCCAACCACAGGGACACTTGCTCAACCATGTTTATTGCAGCTTTATTCATAGTAGCTAGAAATGAAAACAGTCTAGATGTCTCTCAGCAGAAGAATGAATAAAGAAAATGTGATACATTTACAAAATGGACTACTACTCAGCAGTTAAAAAAATGGCACCATGAAATTTGCTAGCAAATTGTTACACCTATAAAAAATTACTATGAATGAGTTTGATGTAGACTCAGAAAGAAAAATATGCTATGCATTTTTTTTATCTGGGTATTAGCTATTAAATCAAGTATAACTGAACTACAGTGCACAGACCCAGAGAGGTTAGGTATAGAGGAAGCAAAGCGGTGCCATGTAGATCTTCTTGGGAGGAAGAAATAGTATGGATTTATAGGTGGACTAGGGGAGGGTTATCAGGAATTGTAGGGTGAGTCTTAGGGAAAGGGGAGATGTGCTTGAAGCGGGGTATGTGGGGAGGAGACAGCTGGAGTTGATGAACATTGAATGAGTGATATGTAAACCTGGTACAGTAGAAAATTCCTAAAAAAAATAAGTGAAAAATATTGTAGTGAAGGCTCTGAAAAATGATGGAGATAGAATTACAACAGGCTATTTCTTGGTACCAAACAAAGTTTTCTGTCTTGAGACTGGATCACATACAACTGTGATTTTGACCAAAAAGGACCCATGGAAATCTCAAAACAAATCAAGATGTGGCCACAACAATAGTTTACCATCCACAAAGTGAACAGAAAAGCTCCATTGTTGAAGACAGCACAAATGCAACTCTTCAATATGAAGAAGAACTTCTACCCACATAGAAATTTCAGCCATAGTTGCTAGTGTCTTTAGTATGGGAAGGTACTCTGCTGGATAACAAATAATAAACCTTAATACCTACTCAGCCACAAACCTTTGATCTACAATCTGTCCTAACTGAAATATATGCCAGGGAAATGGTAGCACAATGCTAGTTGGAGTAAATAACTAATTTGGTTTTGATTTAAGGTCTACTTCATCAGTTGGAACCCATACCCAATACTGTTTGTCTGATCACGAACTGGGGATTAGATAGTTCAGGGGCCTAGGGTAAAGTCAAATAAAAATAAAGTAAAATAAAATAACTCTTAATGATGTTCCACGATCTAAAAGACTTCTTACTACAGCAGATAGGAACAATGAAGACACCAACAGTCAGTCTGTACACAGGGTGAGCCCTTGGGGGATATAGTTCAATAAGTGACATCTCCATCAAATTTCTCTAAGTAGAGCTCAACAAATTTCATAAATGCAAACCAGAGAGAGTGAAAAAGCCAGAGAAGATGCTGGATGGCAGAACAAGGTCCACTAGATCTACTGAGTAAAATTCACAAGAATTAACAGAGACTAAAGCAGCAAGCAAAGCAACAACACAGGTCTGCCCCTGATCTTCTGCATACATGCTTTAGTTGCCAATTTAGTGTGAAATTCCTGGTGTGTGAAAGAATGGTTCATTGATTTGCATGACTATATTTGAGGCTCTTTCTTCTTCTGTTGGTTTGCATTATCCAACTTCAATGTGATGTTTTTCTTGTATATCTTTTGTTATAATTGGTTATCGTCTCTTAGAAGTGTGTTCTTTTCTATTGCAAGACAGAAAGGGAGTGGATCCAGAGGTGTAGGGAGGTGGTAAGGACCTGGAAGGGAGTTGAGGTAAAGAAAACTATAATCAGGAAACATATTTAAAAAGAAAAAAGGGAACTTATTCTATACACTCAAAAAATCAAAAAATTATCATTAATAAGTGAGTCAGTACTGGGAATGTCGTCAGTGGGTAAGAGCACTATCTGCATAACTGGCATATCCAGAATTTTGATCCGAAGTACCCAAGTAAAATGTGCATGTAGTATTAATTAAAATGTAAATTAGATACACAAGTAATTGGTATACTAATGTTATTTATAGCAAATATAAAATATTAAGTCTTGGTTGGAAATTAAGGTTGAGTAAGTAACTTTATCATCTCAAAAGCAAAAATAGACAATGATTAATTGATCAATCTACAGGTAGAAAGATAGTACAGGAACCATACAAATTATTATATATGATGGATTAATATTTGGATTTCTACTGTTTACTCTTTCAAACTGTCATTTTAAGTTTATCCAGGAAAAAAGGGGCATGGTAAATTTTGTAAAATTTGATCTTATATTATCATAAAATCATACTTATATTAATTTCAAAATAGTCACCCTAATGGTGCACCATTCTTTGTTACCCAGTTTTTTTCTTAGTAACATAGAATGTCATGAATAGATCTAGATGCACTTTGGGTGACAACTGAGGTATCTTATTTTTGGGAGGAAATATTAATGAGAAATGATGGGTTTCAAGGATCCTCTTTCTGCTATACTTCAAGGTATGGCCCCATAGATAGTATCCAATTCAAATTTCAATAGTGCCAAAACTGAGAAAAAAAGTTCATTTATCTGAATAAGAATATAGAATAAAGGGTAGGTAAAATTTATCAGCCCCTTTTCATATAACCAATAGAGTTCTAATACCTTTTGTAAAATACTGAATCACACAGTAAGATAGCTCTTTTATTGAACAATATTACTGTATATTTTTTTGCAGTACTGAAATTGGACCACAGATTTATTGATTCAGGGGAGAATTCTACATCACAATATACTAAATCATTTTTATGAGTCTATTTTACAATTATAAATAAAAAGCTGTCACAGAAATCTGCGGTTTTGTAGTTACAAAGTGGGAAATCTGGACATTCTTCTTTCAGAGTTCTATGAATTATAATGAGGAGAATGAGAAAGGGGACCAATCAAAACTTTACTCTGAATCGGAGGTACCCCTTCTGGGAAATGATATTATCTCTAGGCATCTAGCGCTAGTTATGACACTGGATACAAACATAAGTTCAGCTACTTCTACCTTTAAGAGCTCATCCAATGTGGGAAGAAGTCCTGTAGCAAAGAGAATAATTTCCTGGATTTCCAATAAATTTTCTAAGGAATCTAGGTCTTAAGATGCATATTCTCATTTAAGTCAACTCATCCTTTAGAAATTCATAGAAGATAATGATTTTCTTTTCTATATGTGAAAATAAATTTCTTGTGATTTTTCTCAAATATAGATTATGTTATGTCCCCCACACTACTTCTAGAGGAGCACAGGCTTGTCTTACTGATGATTATAACCTGCTTTATTACTGCTAACTGCACCCTCTCAGGACAGTAAAGAGAAAAACATCATGAGTTCTGGTAGCAGAGAAGGCTCCAGAAAACAAAGGTAAGAAAAAATAATTTCTGCTTGAAAATTCCTAAATTTACTTACATACTTCTCTTTTCTGCCCTAATTACTGGTAAACTCTAGGAAAACCAGGGGGAAAATGCTCAGAGACATTGAGGTTCTACATACATTTTACTGGATATATGGAAATAAAATGGGTGTAAGGAAAGAGGAAATGGCTTTTTCAGGAACTAAGAACAGTTGTGTTATTTGTATGCCTTATAAGGTTATTTATATATCCTACTGTATGTCCACTAAACCCCCAAATTAGGAAGCAGCCACTCTAGTTCTTCCACAAGAATCAAAGACAGGTTATTGGTTAATGTCATTTTTCACTCCTTTTATTATAGATGCAACCAATGAAGCAATTGACTATGAAAAGTAACTCTTCAGTGACTGAGTTCATGCTTATGGGATTAACAGTTCAACCAGGGCTCCAGTTGCCCCTCTTTGTCTTCTTCTTGTTAAACTACACAGCCACTGTGGTGAGAAACCTGAGCTTAATGAATCTCATTTTTCTAAATTTACATCTTGACACTCCCATGTACTTTTTCATCTTCAATCTCTCCTGCATTGATTTCTGTTATTCATTTGTTTTCACTCCCAAAATGTTGATGAGTTTTGCTTTAAAGAAGAACACCATTTCTTTTACAGGATACATGAGTCAGCTATTTTTCTTCTGCTGTTTTGCCAACTCTGAGTGTTATGTGTTGACAGCCATGGCTTATGATCCCTATATGGCCATCTGTCAGCCCTTCCAGTACACAACTATCATGTCACCTAAGATATGTTGTCTGATGATGGGTTTTGCAGGGGCCATGGTTCACACAGGGTTTATGATCAGGCTCAGCTTTTGTGATTCTAACATCATCAACCACTACATGAAGTAATAAGGGTGGTGGGGCTGCGTTCCCAGCACCCCGGCCGCCTGCTCGGCTAGCTTATGCCCCGAAATAACAACACACAAACTGTATTCTTTATGACACTGCTTGGCCCTTTAGCTCTAGCCCTTACTGGCTAATTCTGATATCCCGATCAACCCATCTCTAATAATCTGTGAGCACCGGTCTTACCAGGAAGATTCTAGCCCACGTCCATCCTGGGTCGGAGCTTCATTGCGTGTGTCTGCCCAGGAGCCGGGAGCATGGCATCTCTCTCTCTGAGGCATCTGCTCCCGAGACGAGAGCTGTGGAGTCTGAGCTCACTTCCTCGTCCTCCCAGCGTTCTGTTCTGTTTACTCCTCCCACCTATCTTCTAACCAATGAGGGCCAAGCAGTTTCTTTTTTATTTAACCAATGACCTTCCTCCATCATTTCCCCTTTTTCGGTTTAAACAAAAAAAAAAGGCTTTAACTTTAACAGAGCAAAATTACATATAACCAAACAGTTATCAAGTAAAAGTTACAATAATCTTTATCATAACTAAGGAAAACTATAACTATAACTAACTCTTCTTAACTCCTTCAAAGACTCCAGAAAGATACAATACTACCTAAGCTAACAAGAAAAAAGCAACTTTTAAAACTCGAGAAATGACAGAGACATCTCGCTGCCTGGACAGTCACCCAAAGTTCCTCTGTACCGTTGGGGCATCCATCTTCAGCCTTCAGGCCCATGGTAACCAGCAGACATTTCCATAAAGCAGGAAAATTCAAAGTCATTTCAGTCACTATCTGTTGTGTACTGCAGAATGTCTTGCAGACTCTTTCATGAATCAGGAACCCCGAAAGATCATCTCACCTTAGGCAAGTTCAGTAGTCCTCTCTCTGTGGGTTCTCTGTGTCCAGTTTATGCAATAGTCCAGGCAAGAGCAGTTTCTTGCCCAAATGGCTATCAAACTCCATAACGAGCCTCTTCGATGCCCATCTTCCTCTTGAAGTAGATTGGTGCTGCCAGGAGCAGAGTGTCTCATTGTCATGAAAAGTCCTAAGTTATTAAAACATTTAAAATGCCATATTCTATAATCTTTGAAAAATATGAAGAATGCCTATCTAAAATATATCTATGTACATCTAGAAAATCTTAACTAATGTGACTACAAACTTGACTATTATGATTATCTATTAACAATCTATACTTCTAATTATACATTACATTTTTAAATGAACTACACAATCACAGTTCCTTAATCAAGATCAGAAACACATATACATATAACAAAATTGACTTTAAATTTAAATCACTAAAACAAAATCCATATCAATGTAAATAATTCATATCTCTATCATATCCCCCTTTAAATGTAAAAGAACGTTTATAAATCATATTTGGGAACATGGGCGCAGTTTTTTCTCTCCAAACTGCTTCCTGCTGAATGGGGACATTGTTAATTAGGTCTTTCATGGTATAACCTGTGTGCTAGTTTCATCTCAGTTGAGCGAAGCAATTTTCCGAGGGTGTTCACGCAACCTTTCAGGAGGACGTGGTCCATCATACCAAATCGGAATAGAAGAAATTAACAAGGTCTCATCCTCTGTGAAAACAAAGTAAGAAACTCCTTTCCAAAGCATCATGTCCTTAGATCCAAATTTCAAATTCAGGGCATTTTCAAAATATCTATGTTGGATTAGTTCAGCAGCATTTATAAACAAGTATCTTTTAGTAGTTTTTGCTCTTTTGTCAGCATTCAAATAATTCAAAGAGAGCATAATAGCATACAGTATCAAAATTCTCTGTGTATTTTCCATCTTTGTGTGCTTTATTTTAACCTCTATTTTGTTTATTTTTACTTTTAACTTTTTGCTTTTTGAGACAGGTTCTCTGTATCTTTGACCTGAAGTAACTCTGTAGACCAGATTGTCCTTGAACTCTCAGAGATCCGCCTGTCTCTGCCTCCCAGGAATTGGGATTAAAGGTGTACGCTATGACACCTTGAACTCTCAGAGAACTGTTTGTCTCTGCCTTCTAGGCACTGGGATTAAAGGCATGTGCTACCACACCTTGAAGTCACAGAGGTCAATCTCCCTCTGCCTCCCAAGTGTTGGGATTTAAGGTGTGTACTACCTCACACAACAACTCTCTTCCTTTTTTTGTTTTTTACTTTAAGAACTTCAACTTTTAGTCTGCATATATTCTTAACACACTTTAAACCATTCAGAAATTTTCTCTGTCTTTGAATCTCTCTTTACTGTATATCTCTCTTTTTCTGACCACATGAGTCTTTAATTTACCAAGCAATCTCAGTAGGACTAAAGGTGTGGCTTTGCCGGCTAGATGTAGCCCATTCCTTAGCTTTCCAGCCTCATGGCTGAGGTACTGGCTGTAGCCCTGTTTACTGCCACAACACTATGGCATTTCAAGGTCCCTGCCAGCAAGTGAGCTTCAGCAGCCTGTGCTTGCAAACCGCACGAACCGCCTGCGTAAAAGAGTAAGAGTTTGCCCTGGAAGGACAGCCCAGAATGCTGGCATTTTTAAACGGCTTTTTTCCTGCTACGGCTGAAAACCGAAAAGCATGTGTTCAGCTTTTTGGCAACACCGTTTAAGTGTTTCGTGGCAGGACCTCTTAATGAGCTGCAGGGTTTTGCAGCTGAAGCTGAGTCAGGAAAGTCTCTCTTAGATGAGAGCGCTTGCTTGCCTCTAGCAAGCAGAACAGACCCAAGAAATTGCCACAAGAAACATGCTTTACTCTATTCTTTTCCAAGCTTTCTCAGGCTTTCTGTGGACTCAGTTACCCACACGTCTGGGTGCCATTTGAAGTAATAAGGGTGACGCAGCTGCGTTTCCAGCACCCCGGCTGCCTGCTCAGCTAGCTTATGCCCCGAAATAACAACACACAAACTGTATTCTTTTAGACATTGCTTGGCCCTTTAGCTCTAGCCCTTACTGGCTAATTCTGATATCCCGATCAACCCATCTCTAACAATCTGTGAGCACCGGTCTAGCCCACGTCCATCCTGGGTCGGAGCTTCATTGCTTATGTCTGCACAGGAGCCGGGAGCATGGCGTCTCTCTCTCTCTGAGGCGTCTGCTCCTGAGACGAGAGCTGTGGAGTCTGAGCTCACTTCCTCTTCCTCCCAGCATTCTGTTCTGTTTATTCCTCCCACCTATCTTCTAACCAATGAGGGCCAAGCAGTTTCTTTTTCATTTAACCAATGACCTTCCTCCATCAACTACATGTGTGACATCTTTCCTCTCCTTCAGCTCTCCTGCAGTAGCACCTATGTCAATGAGTTTGTGAGTTCTGCTGTAGTTGGAACAATTCTCATTTTATCTAGCATCATTATTTTAGTCTCATATGCTATGATTCTTTTCAATATCATTCACATGTCATCAGGAAAGGGTTGGTCCAAAGCCTTGGGCACCTGTATGTCTCACATCATAACTGTTAGTCTCTTTTACGGATCTGGGCTACTAGCTTATGTCAAACCATCTTCTGCTGAGACTGTACGCCAAGGTAAATTTTTCTCAGTGTTTTACACTCTTGTGGTTCCCATGCTGAATCCTCTCATTTACAGCCTCAGGAACAAAGATGTCAAAGACGCTGTGAAGAAAACCATGAAGAGAATCACAAGTTGAGTGAACATTATACCTTCCTTAATCCTGCCATACTGTTCTGCCTTGTTCTTCTCTTTGTCTTTCTCAATATATTTCTTCTGCTTTGTCTTGTTCTTCTCCGTGTCTTTCTCAATCTATTTCCTCTCTTTTTGTCTCATCTCTCTAAAGTCTGGAGATTTCATATAACCTCTCTTTCTGTCACTATGAGATATAATTCTGGTGTCTATTTTTCCCCACTTCACTTGTTTCCAGCTTAATTATGACTCCACAATGTTGGTCATTATCTACTTCAGAACAGGACCCTCTTCTCCTGTCTTTCTGTTCCTAATAATAACAAAACCTATGCCTTTTTGTTGTGTGCTTTCTCCTGATGGAAACTCATAGAGTGTGTTCTCAATGCCCTACTTCTTCCTCTTCTGAGACAATTTTGGTTTTCTTTATTTGTTTCCTGAAACAACAGATATTTTATAAACTAAATTAGTAAGATGAGATAAGAGAGGGTAAAAACTGAAAATACAGCCTAGATCTTGAAATTTCATGATTATTTAAGGTATTCCTAAGATATTATATTATTCTAGACTTGTAGTCTCACATCTGTAATGAAATTCTGTACTATACTTAAATAAAATGTGGTTCTTTAAAGTCTGAGTATGTATTCAACCTATTCCTTTTAATTGACCCCCACAAGACACAGAAAATATGACATTTGGTATTGAATAGAACTGAAATTTTCACTATCCTTCTTTGATACATGGATTGGTCAATAATTGTTTTTAAAATGGCAGACCTACAATCATGCCTGTAAAACAAAGAACCATTTAGTGCCTACTATTTTTAAGTGTCTATATATGTATATGCACACACACACACACACACACACACACACACACACACATATATATATATATATATGATAGATGCAGTTTTGTAAAAATCTATTTTATTACTTTAAAAACTAAAACACAGCTAGACTTGAAGTTTCAGAATAAAGAATATCCTTGCTTTTGATTGAGTTTGCTTCTCAGGGCCAAAAATGATATGGATATCTATTTTGTTATTTTATGTGTTTCTATGATCTGAAAGAGAAAATAATTATGTAACTTTTTAAGGCCATACACCTTATGCATAAGACTAGATTCATACCCACTGTGCATTTGGTTAAGAAACACAAGGGCAGAAAACTGTGAAAAAAACAGATAGACTCTCTAGAGAATTGTTTCACAGTGACTGTGGAAGTTGGGATTCTGTCAGAAAATCGACTCAGTCATGATGCCTATTATAGAAATGATGCAAAGATTTCAGATCCAGTTAGCAAAGTGTCCATGTTCCTACAGAAACCTCAATTTAGAGTGACACAGGCATGGGAAAAAGAGTAATAAATATTTTCATCTTTTTATGATTAGTGATATTTTTTCTAGGTTTTTGAGACTGAGGAGATTGAGTAAGCTTTTCTGGTGACTCATGTTCATTTAGTGAATTGTATATTTAAGGAGTCTGATATATGTCTCATATTCATTAGTAGAGAAAAATGACTTAGCCGGAACACAGAAAAAAACAAAGTTAATTGTACTACACACTATTTTCCTTTGAACATGTTCACAGAACCAAAATCCTTTAGAATAGATAGTCCTCCATGCGTATTTTTTAATATATATTTTTATGGTTTATTTAGCTTTATTTTTTTTATGTGCATTGGTGTGGAGGTGTCAGATCCCCTGCAACTGGATCTTCAGACAGTTGTGAGCTGCCATGTGGGTCCTCTGGAAGAGCAGTCAGTACTCTTAACCACTGAGCCATCTCTCCAGCCCCCCTCCATGCATATTTTAAGATTTTTTTCTGGTGATACAAGTTTAAGCTTTCAGCTTTTCTACTTAGTGTACCAATCTCAGAGAAGAAATGATTGTCCACAAGTCAAGCCTAGTGAAATAATGAGTTTGCTAGGCTTGTTCAGTGTCTGACAGGAATATAGAATACATGGATGTTGCTGTATTACTAAGAAGCCCTGGCCATGGTCAATGGCTCAGTAAAGTCCCATCATTGAGAAGCTCTCAGTTCTACATAGAGTATGCTTTTCATCAAAGACCATTTACTGGTGACAAAGTCTTGAGTCAGAGCTTTGTAAATACTGTGAGCTTATTGAATATCAGCAGCTTCACCCTTCGCACAAGGAGAGAATTATTCAGTTCAGAGGAGATAATATAAAAACAGTGGTTATTTCCTGTTTGGAGTACAATAGATCTTTAAACTGTGATTCTTTAATTTATGAAGATCACGGTCCTTGAAAAGTGCTAAAATATTTGTTTGGATATATAGGCTGAGAAATCATTATACTAGTTAATTCATTCAGTCAATCTGAATAAAACTATTGATACTAGAGTTATATAATTTTGATTTATTATAACATTTTATGATCATCAAATGTTTCTAACATTGACTCTCATGGACATGCTATGTTTTTGTATTTTTGATTCATTCTTTGTAGCATGTGTATGATTAAATTTGTGAAAAATAACTTGAAATCTACTCATATAGACATACTTTGGTAGACATAAGAATGTTTCTTAAAAACACAGAATCAGTTGTGTAAAACCCAGACCTAAAATGCACTTAAATACAAAGCCAACATGGAATCGTAAGTTCAAGATACAAAGCATCATTTGAGAATTCTTTTCTAGTTATCAGCTTAGTCTGTTGGAGAACAAAACAGAGAATAACCTGGCTTTACTTTCTATTTATTCCATCTGCACATGTGTGTGGTGTTTATAAGAATGTGTGCACACACATATTGCGTATATGCATGTGGGTGTCTGAGTTTCTTTCCGTCACTATCCACTTACAAAGTGAGTTTGGATCTTTCAATTGATAGCCAAGTTCATCAATTTAGCTACTATAGATAGCCAGCTTGCTCTAAGGATACCCTGTCTCTTCCTTCTGAGTGCTGCAGTTACAGACAGATTATGGTACCCACCTATGGATACTGTTATGTGAATTCTCAGGTTGATCTTCATTTCTCAATCTTACATAACAAGTTCTTTAGTGCTTATTCTTTGATGTAGAAAATTAAATATTTTACTATTGATATTAAAACTGTATTTAATAAAATTTATTACTAAAAATTATTGGATATGACATAATTTTTTAAATTCACCATAGTAAGTCAATTAGTGGTAAAATAATGTTAAAGCTTATTTAACAGTTACTGATTGTCTGTGGCATAAAAATCTTTGTTAAAAATGTATACAGAGTCTGGGTATATTTCCTATCTCTTCTTGCATCACTGTTTCTTCACTCATTTATCTTGAATTTCTAAATATATACTTCGGAAAACTCTGTTCTAAAATCTGGTAAAAACTTCATAAAATCATATTAAATCACATTTTTATTGTATTTTTTGTTCTTTTGATGACTAATTTCTTGAGTTCTTTGTATATTTTGGATATCAGACCTCTTTCTGAAGTATGGTTAGTTAAGATCTTTTCCTATTCTGTAGGCTGTCACTTTGTTTTGTTTACTGTGTCCTTTGCTTTAGAGAAGCTTCTCAGTTTCAGGAGGTCCCATGTGTTAATTGTTTGTCTCAGAGCTTGTGCTTCTGGAATTATATTTAGGAAGTGGTCTCCTGTGCCAATGCGTTCAAAGGTACTTCCCGTATTTTCTTCTATATGGTTCAGTGTGGCTGGATTTATGTTGATATCTTTGATCCATTTAGACTTGAGTTTTGTGCATGGTGATAGATATGGATCTATTTTCATTCGTTAACACATTGACATCCAGTTATGCCAGCACCATTTATTAAATATGCTTTCCTTTTTTCATTCTATATTTTTTGCATCTTTGTGAAAAATCAGGTGTTTGAAGATGTGTGGATTACTATTTGGGTCTTCAGTTCAGTTACATTAGTCCTTCTGTCTGTTTTTATGCCAATACCAGGCTATTTTCAGTACGTCAGCTCTGTAACTGTAATTCTTACTTGAGCACTGTTTTTACTGTATGTAATTTTAATATATTAAAATTAAAGCTTCCTTTTTAATTAGACAAAAATGGAAATGCTGTGGAACTATCTTTGTGCACTGTAAATAAGTTTTTTTGTTTTGTTTTTATTTATTTATTTATTTTGTTGTTGTTGTTAACAAAAACATGATAGGCTAATGCCTAGGCAGGATTTGCGGGGCAGAGAGAATTCTGAGAAGAAGAATGGAGTCTGGGGAGTCTGAAGAGAAGCAGGAAGAAGCATGATGAGTATGCTGTGTTGAAAGAAGACACTGCCACATTGCAAAGAATAAATAAAAATATGGGTTAATTTAAAATGTGTTAGATACTAACAAGCCTGAGCTCTCGCTCCAGCTTGTAAAATTAATGACAAGTGTCTGAGTGGTTGTTTGCAAGTGGCTCTTGGGACACAGAGAAACATCACCTACCCATTTTTTGACTTTCTTATCTTTTATCAGTCCAAGGAGTCAGGGCACTACTGCCCAACCGGAATGCCTTTGGCACTATTGCCCAACCGGAATGCCTTTACCACGTGATGCTTTTCTCTTTCCCATTGAATCTTTCCAATATGATTTCATGAAATACAATATACATGTGTCATAGTCTTTTCAGTCATCAAAAATTCTTTTTCCTTCTTAAAAATTCATAATGAAATGCAAACACCTACTACACTTATTGTATAAGGTAATTTTAAATTAAAAGTTTTACATTAAAGTATATTAAACACATTAATTTTTACCCAATATTTTTACCATGTTTTTTCTTAAGTATACCTCCATGTATGTGTGAAAATGATGAAGTCATGTTTTCTTGATATGAGTGCTCATAAGTATCAATTTATCTTGGGATTTAATTTTATTCTATTGTGTGTAAAGTTTACTCTAAACAATAGAAGACAAAATATCATGAAGTAAAGGTCCATTCCATTTTTATATATTTTTAAAGTAGAAAGGTCTAAAAATCAATTTCCATTTTTTAATGGTATATGTGTAATCAATACATTAAGCGAATTGCCCATCAATTGAAGCATGTAA